AGCGGCGGTGAAAGGACGACGAAGCGTGCAAGAGGTAACAACGAATTGGGAGGAATGGTGAGCGGCGAGGCGTAGGTGGCGGGAATATACCCCTCGCAGCCACCGTTTCCATCCCCATGGCGGCTCTCTCGCTGCGCTAGGCGAACGGGGAGAAGGGGGGAGAGTTGTCTATCCCGCCGCTAACTTCATTTAAGTTTTGATCCTTTTACAGGGTACTCCACGCTAACTTTCCATATCGAGCATTGAAGGAGACACTTTAAAATCTCGAGCGGAAAAGACCATTGAACCCCCCTCTTCCCGGTGGAGCAGGGCGTGGTCGCTGCATCGCATCGCGGTCGTGTGCTTTCTGGACAAGAGATGTATAAGAGAGAGGCAGAGAGAGAGAGAGAAAAGAAGAAGAAGAAGAAAGGAGAATCGGATCTGGACGGAAGAGAGCAGGGGGTTGCGAGAGGCCCGACGACGTGGTAGCGAAAAGCAACGCTCAGTTCGCGACCCTGTAACCGGCGGGGAACTCGACTTTTATTACATCGAGTCGCTGGAAATGAGGCGCAGTTCACCAGATTATACACTGCGCTAAAATGCAGATACAAATTCTCCGCCGAGAACCATGACTCCATTCTTCTCCTCTATTCTTCCGCGTCCTTCTTTTCCATCCTGCTTCCCGCCTGCGGCTACTTCTTCATCATTTTTCTCTTCTCCTACTTCTTTTTTTTTCATTTTTTTCATCGTCATTCGACATCTTTTTTATCTGCTTGCGTTCCTTTTGTTATCCCCCCTTCTACCCGATTACTTGTATTTCACCATTAACTTCGTCGTAAGCCGCGTGCTCCACCATTCTCCGTCGTTAAATCTCTTGCAAAACAGAAAATTCGCGCCTTTTATCTTGCCAGACAGCCGTGCGCTTCTTCTTCGTCATTGTTACGCATCATCCCGGGTGCTGAATGTCACTTCGCACCATCCACCGTGGCGAGACCGCGCGCCAAAGTGGACTGACTCAAGACCATTAAACGCTTTTAACGGCGCTCGCATTCGACCAGCAAGCTTATTACTATTGTTTAAATATCATAAAAGCATTGCATCACGCTCTGCGTCTCTCTCCGTGCGGGGATAATTTTAGATTTCTCCGCTTCAGCGGAATATGACGGATTTTATATTTGTTCACGTTCGTGACGCAGTTTCTGGCATCGCGAGTGATTATTTCCGTGCTTGTAATAACGCTATCGTAATGCGTTGCATCACATAGTGTATCGTGCGTAGTAGGTATCAATCTTATCTTACCGCGGTTGATTAAAATACACTTGGAACGCCAAGAATTCTGTATAGACGACGAAGTCTACGATGTAGTGTATCTTCTCTGCGATACGTCGAGCGGGCTTTGAAACTTCGCTGCAGTTCGCACGGAGTTCCGAGGTGTGCGTTATTGGATACATCACATATCGAAAGCTCTAACATTACTGATATCGATTAAGCCACTGTTCTAAGGATCCTGAAGACGAGCTTCTGGGACGTGTTCAAGGTATTGGAAGCGAAGAATGTGTAGTAGAGAGAAAGAGAGAGAGAGAGAGAGAGAGAGAGAGAGGGGGAGAGAGAAGAGAAACGGGAGACGAATTTTCGTTCATAAAAGAAAGAAATCTCTTAACGTTCTCCACGTCCGGTGTACACGAACGCACACAAGCCACCAGCGTATGTATACGTATACGCCTTCGGGGATCCTTTTGTACCCGTGCCACATTATAGGAGCTGGTGCATTAGACAGAGTAATACGGCTGGAGGAATTCCAATTGCAGCTCGGCCACGTCGTTCGGTTTAACGATTTCGTCGGACTTTAGAGAATACAGGGCGCCGCTGTATAGAGGAGGAATGGGCTTGCGTATAGACCGCTTCGTTGACATGTTTAAAGACCGTCGTACATCTCGCGACCGGCAGAATTGAATGTTGCTTTGGGCCGTACGCAAATGTATCAATATTCATCCGGTTGATACGCCTGTCGCAAAATACAGATATCGCGGCGATATTGTAATAGCGGTATGGGACGCGTTCATTATCGTTACACACCAACATCGTATGCCGTTTATTTCGCGTATATCACTTACGATGCTAATTTTGTCTGCAGAATTGAACTGAAATGTTGTCACGTTAGAACACATTATACAAAAATGTAAAAAGACAAGTTTTATGAAGACGAGAATCGAGTCAACAATATTTTGAAGATATCTTTATTAACGCTGTTTCTTATAAAACGCAGCAACATTCAATTTTTATCGGATACTGTAATTATTAAGATTCCTGATCGTCTGAAAACCTCAGGGATTAATCGATCTCAATCTTTAATGATATTCCGTCATTTTGCGGATCAGCCTGCTTTATCTGTCGTATCGCTATTATATTCTTAATTCTCAGGATTTAATGCCAGAACCTCCTTCTGTCTTATTTTTAACTTTTAAAACACCTATACGGGAGGTTTCTAGTCAATCTATTAGTCTTTGAATAAAGCTAACTCTCTCCGAGAGAGGAGTTAATACCTCCATTTTTACGACACATTTAACACGTCATGCTAGCTCCTCCGCAGCGGCTCGTGGAGGCATTACGGTTGACGAAATTTGGAAATTTGCTGCATTACAAACAGCAGGCTGGTCTAAGGATTCTTCGACTTTTGCGAAATTTTATAATAGGCCTCTAATGCCGGCGTCAGATATATCAGAAGCGATCATTTTAAACCGTTAAGTATAAAATGTTTATTTAGTTAATGTTTATAAGCTTACAATAGCATTTATTTTATTGAACGATATCGAATGTTGTCATTAAAGTCTATCTTAACATTTCTTTCTTTTAAATATTTAAAAATAAATAATTAAAGATTAACTGAATAATTTTCTTGTTATGCTTCCAAGATAATGACTTTACTTATAACCACAAATTGTTATCTTTGAACAGCTACATTTATCTATGAAATGCAGAGTATAATTATATGATCAAACGATCATATAATCCAGAGTGAAGTTCGATCATAATTATGCGAATGCTTTCGTCCGAGTAGAGACACCCTCCCATTTCCAGGAAATACTACGTTTTTCTATCTTTGCCCATTTTCGATTTATAACAAGCTTTAAACTATAAAGTAACCTAGCAACATACTAAACAACATAGAACGCACATATTGAACAACCTACACTCGTATTAAAAAAATTTTTCTCGTCATATTTTAAAAACGTTTGTTGAAAACGAGTATCATATGGCATGACTATTATTATTTACCTATTTGGACGAAAGCATTCGCATATTATGATCGAACTTCCCTCTAGAGTTTGTTTGATTATATAATTAGCTGAATCTCTTTTTATATGTTTCTTATCGTCTCAAGTCACGTCATTTAACACGCTCAAATGTATAAAATTCTAATTTATACATCATAAACTTATTAAATGACGGTGCTTAAAACCGTAAGAGACGTGTGAGAAGAGTTTCAGCGGATTACACGCTTATACGTTTAAGAATAACACACTCGGATTGTTGTTACGCTAGAAAACATTGCATAAAATACGAAAAGGTAAATATGATGATAAAGAGAATCTATCAGTATTTTGAAGATATATTTAGCAAAGGTATATCTTAAGTATATTTTTTATAAAGATATCTCTAAAAAGATATCTATAGGAACGACGATAAGTTTTCATTCCTTTACACGAAGCACAACAACAAATATGATGGCATTGGATACAAAATGTTATCTTATTTAGATACAAATTGAACTTTGGAAATGATTCTTTCCTTCATGTCATATTTCATTTCTTAGAAGATAAGAAGAGATACTTCTTTGCATGTATGTACCAGTAAGTCTCGCTGTAACTATATTTATGATAGTGCACAGTATACATAAGATTATAACATGATACTTAAGTTATTTGTTTAAGAGAGCAAGAGTTCACCTTAAGAGAGCGAGAGTTCGTAGTAGCATGCACTGTCGCCGATAACAAAGTTCTAGAAAACACTTATATAAGAATAATGTAAAGAGCGAGAAGTCTTCATGTGCTGAACTACGATTATAAATTTATAATATACTTCTGCAAAACTTTCTATATATTTAATAAAACATAATTAAATCCAAATAAATATTTTCTTTTTAATACAAATGTATATGTGATTCGAAATTAATTTAAGCTATTCCTTACAATAGTCGACTATCAGTTGTACTTAAATGTTCCATGCCAGTCGGTTAAAAAAGAACAAGATAATAATGATGAAAAAGATTATAGACGACGATCGTGTCTAAGTTCAATGTCGACTTTATTCGTTTATGTTAATATTTGTTTTTCATCGAGATTTTCTTTTTATCTTACGAGATTTTATCGGACGAAATTAATCGCGAAATTTTGAAGTTATATGCATTGACATACTGCCATGATAATTTGAAGATAGCATGTGGTAAAGTTTATTGTTACATGTAATTAATAAAAAAGATCTATTACAACAGTGCATTACAAATCCAAGTGTGTTATTATAGCTCTAATTACATGTTTCCTCATTTAACATGTTTAAATTAAATTAAAATTTATACATCTCTCTTAGGCGTGTTAAATGATGTGACTTAAAATGGTGAGAAACATATAAAAAAAAATTCAGCCGAATTACACGTTTATGTGTTTGAAATAGTACAAATAAATAGTTTGAATTTTTAGTGTGACTTTAGTGCTATTTGCAACATATCAATATATTAATAACTGTTACATTGTTGAATTTAGTTATATTAACACGTTAATATAAGTATTAATACGTTAGTATAAAATAATTAATTAAAAAAAGGAATAATGTGCTTACAGATTGGTATAATTGAACATCTAAGAAACTCAATTATCACAATGTTAATAATGAAATATTAACATAGAACATTTTTAAAAGTATACTTATCAATCAGTTTGAAGCTCTACTAGAAGTCACACCAGATGTCTCTGTATTACTATATATTGCTGTATCGACAGTTCACACACATTTATTTCTGTGCGTCGCGTAGTTACATTGTGTTCATCTTTAACGTCATTGCCGTTTACTCGCGTTCTAGAAAATGTTTTCCACCATATTTTTATTATTTGTTATTGCAGTCATTATTGCATTTGCTTTTCATTATTACCTACATTATTCAAGAGCTGGACGATTGATCAATCAAATACCGGGACCGAAGCTCCTTCCGGTTATTGGAAATTTATTGTTATTACAAGTATCAAGAGGTGAGTAAAAGTTCTTGATATGTTCATTATTAATTAATAGTAGTTTACTAACATTCAACTTACTATTCATTCACGTAAGAAGATACTGAACTTGCATGTATAACATAAAACATTACTATGAACATTACTAACTACATTACTATTACAACTACATTACAATTATTAACATTACATAACTATGAGCCCACTAATGTTTTTTCTCATTTTTATTTATTCTTAACTGCTGTAATTTATTGTACTCACGACTTGTTTAAGTAATGGTATAGTTTCCTCAAAAAAATAAGAATGATAACAATATACATTTCACATATGTATCATTATTTATAATATATTCGCATGTTCTAGAGGGAATCTGGCACCTTCTCCGTCGCCTTGCGAGACAATATTATCCCATTTATAGGTTTTGGGGTTTGCATATAAACTTTGTATCCATCCGTCATCCAGATGATATGGAGGTATTTAAGTAAACAGAAAGATATTTATTCACACATACATACAAGATATTCAGCAATATCTGAATGTGTGCGCTGTGTGTGAGTTTGAATGATACAATAAATTAATATTGCAAACGATTTCACCTTCTATGATTTCAGGTAATATTAAACAACACGAAGCACATTGAAAAAGGGATATTTTATAATTTTCTGCATTCTTGGTTAAACAATGGGCTTCTTACTAGTACAGGTAATAGAATAAAATTAATATAATAATCGCAATTGCGCGCTTTATATCATCGAATACTATACATTAAATATTAAGAACTCATTTCTTTATCCAGATATTCCGATAAAACGAATTTTATTACGAAACACATTTATTATACACATTTTATTATATGAAACACATTTTAATATTAGAAGATATATAACTGTATATACGAGTAGATATAAAATATTTTCTTAGCAGATAAAATTTATTAATTTGTCACAAACTTATTTATCATAAACTTGCATAGAAAAAGTACTAGAAAAAAATCAAGTAGTTATTTGTTCCTTAAAATTAATTCTTTAAATCCAGCATTTATATATTTTTATCAATTAATATCTTGATGACTTGTAGGAAATATCTACTTCAATACACACACGTACGTATGCACGTAGCCACACATACACACATATACACACACAATAATACATTAATTTCTGCATATAAGAAAATCGTTCTTAATTAAAAAAATTTACTGGAATTATGTAATAATCCTTTTTCTTTGTGAAGAAATTTAAAGTTTTAAATTCTGATTTGTCTTTTTCCCAATAAATATCCAGTAAATTTCTAAAATAGAATTTTAATATTCTCAATGTATTAGCTAGGCAAAATACGGAATTTTTACAGCTACTCCTACGTGCTCCCTCGTTAAATTCACTCTTCTGAAGGAAATATAACTAACAAGGAGATGCCACAACCTGCTAAATCGATTTCTGAATGAGACATAGCACGTTCGCTAGCTGCGATGTTAAGCATCAATTGGGATTTGTGCCTTTGTTTATGAAAAATTACAATATAAAATTTGGATTGTGAGATTGTATCATGGATATGGCTTAAAATGGGACTATCCTTCAGCGAGGTGGCGTGGCCGAGCAGACTGAGGCCAAAATTTTTGAGCAGACACGCCGAAAATTTTTGAGCCGGCAGCGAGCATTCGAAATCCGGCGACGAGAGTTATCCTTATGCAGTGTTTTTTTTTTCTTACCTTAGGGCATGTAATTAATGTTTTTCGAATATGATACATTTGTTTTGCATATGTCTCGTTTTTATCTATTAATCAAAAGTAATTAGAGAAGTATCAGGCTTGTTTAACGCAAATACGAATATAGACACGTATTTTGCATTGTTTACAATGCAATATATATTTTAGTACATATTAAAACGTCATGTTTTCTGTTGTATTTAATAAGTTTTTAGTTCTTGTTGAGAGAAGAGAACAAACATACAATCAAACATACAACACGATATTCCGCGTCGAAAAATATAAGTAAACATATAACTTGAAAATAATATCGTTGAAATGTATAGCAATCTACTTGTCGTAGAATGTTTACTTTTATAGGTAAGTTAAAAATATGATCACGAGAATGTACAACTATCCTGATTTATTTACAGGCGATGAAAGTATACATTTGGACATTCGAGGTGATGCTATATGCATACAATCACTTTCTTATTATTTATTATTAGCATTAATAACGTTTTAATATGTACTAAAATATATATTGCATTGTAAGCAATATAAAATACGTGTTTATATTCGTGTTTGCGTTAAACAAGCCTGACACTTGCCTAATTACCTTTGATTAATGGATAAAAACGAGACATATGCAAAACAAATGTATCATATTCGAAAAACATTAATTACATGCCCTAAGGTAAGAAAAAAAAAACACCGCATAAGGATAACTCATCGTCAGGTTTCGAACGCTCGCTGGCGGCTCTAAAATTTTCGACGTGGGAGCCTCTGTCTGCTCCGCCACGCCACCTCGCAAAGACAGTCGCATTTTTAGCCATATCCGTGATACAGTCTCACAATCCAAAATTATATTGTAATTTTTCATAAACAAAGGCCCATTGGCACAAATCCCAATTAGGGTTGATGCTTAACATCGCAGCTAGCGAACGTGCTATGTCTCGTTCAGAAATCGATTTAGCAGGTTGTGGCATCTCCTTGTAAGAACATAGGAATGTCACAGAATAAATTGGCATTAATACATTTTTGAGTTACTTATTTTTATCTTAAAATTATACCACAATCTTACTAAGAGACACTACTCAAAAAACGTTAAATTATCAAGTTGTTACCATTAGGTGAATTTATTTGGGTTATGAATCGGACATGACATGGGATCATATTTTTAAGAATATATTCTTTTCACTGATTTATTCAGTGACGTTCTACCATGTTAAAAAAAAATTTCTTTCCTTTGGAAAACAAAATTTTTTGACTTGTTTCACTTTTGAAGCAAGACTCTGCTATGCTAACTGAAACAAATATTTTATTAATAGTGTGAATAAATGAATTTTACTAATTTTATTTCTGTTTTAGGTGCCAAGTGGCATTCTCGGCGGAAAATGTTAACACCTGCATTCCATTTCAATATACTACGAGAATTCTTTAATATTTTAACTGAAGAGGGTGAACGTATGGTGCAGAAATTAAAAAACGACGGGGTAGTTGAAATGAATCTCGAACCATTTATTTCTGAACATACGCTAAACATAATATGTGGTAAATTACCGTATATTTTCGTCACATAATTGAGAATTTATTTAGTATATTTGAAACTATTGCCTACGATTGTAGAAACTGCCATGGGTACTTCTTTGCACAGTCTCGGTGAAGCTCAAGTAAAATATCGACAGGAGGTTCGCGAAATGGGTCGGTTCTTTATGTATAGGTAAATAATAATTGAAGTATACGATATATGTATTTAGATGAATAGACATAGTCATTAAGATATCATACGAAGAAATATAATTATAATTAAGACATAATTATAATTAATATACAGACACAAACAGTATTCAATCCGCGAATTACGTATGGTCTGATCGACTTCTCAGTCTTAAAAGAAGATTATTTAAATCCCTTAAAATATCGAATATATAAACATTCTAAAAAAATTGAATGTGTTATTGAATCAAAGACCAAACTTATATTCTGATGTTGGCCAGACGATACGCAGTGTGAAAGAAAAAAAGATGATAACAAAAAAAATAATACGAAAAATATAAAGATAATGTATATCTTTTAAGATAGTCAGAATATTAAATCTTACTTGTTATTCACTTCTCGTGGTTATTCAGATTATTAATACTATTAATTTCTCAGATTTATTTTTACCGTTATATATTTATGCCGTTTAGACTCATGAACCCCTGGTTTACTAACGATACGTTATTCGCATTATCGCCTGAGGGCAGAAAACACAAGAAGACAGTACAAAATTTACATGGATTTACTGAAAAAGTATGTAAAAATTAAATTATACTCACCACTCAGAAAACTTCTTAGCGTACGAAATTTAAACGGGAAACTCGTATATAAGTACTGATAAAAAATATTGAAATATTAGTAAAAAAGACAAGATTAGTGAAAACGAGAAGTGGCAATAAGACAAGTAGTAAAATTAACTAATATTTTCTTTCGTTGACATAATTTTTAGATAATTGCGGAAAGAAAAGCTTATCACAAACTCACCAACGATAAGTATTTATACAATATTATAAATAAAGATGCGATGGAAACAGATAACGCAGAAATAGATACAAGTAATTTAGTCACGCTTGAATTTCAACCTCATTTTAATATCGTCATATTATTGCGTAATTATGATATTTCTGTTCCGATTCAGCTCAAAAAAAGCGACTCGCCATGTTAGATCTTCTAATATTAGCTTCGCGGGAAAATCATTTGAGTGATTTGGATATCAGAGAGGAAGTGGATACTTTCATGTTTGAAGTAGGTGTACTCGTGTGATTTTTCTCGACAACCTGACGCATTATATGGATACAACTAATATGTAAACTGATTATAGGGTCATGACACAACATCGTTGTCTATATGTTTTACTCTATTACTGCTAGCGGAACACAAGGATATTCAGGTACTTTTCTCTATAGAAACATAAGATATATAACAGCTTAAAAAGAAGCAACTGATTAATTCTGTTCAATCATTAAGTTGTTAATTAATTCCTGTTAAAAAGGTAAAAGCTTCAAGTATTCGTCGCTGTGTACTTTTTTCATGCATTAATCGAAATTAATCGATTGAATGAAATTAATCAGAAACAACTTACCTTAAAACAAATATAAATATACACGTAGACAATTGTTGAAACAATTTCTTTGTGTATATATGAAAATATCACGGAGCAGCGAGGAATGCAATTTTAATTAGTGTTGGTGATAGGATCGCGTCAGGGAGGAAGTCAATACAGTGATGAAAGAGTGTGAAGGAAAGTTGACTATGACGTCGTTGCAGAATTTATCATATTTAGAAAGATGTTTGAAGGAATCATTGCGGCTGTACCCCAGCGTGCATTCCATAGCACGAATCATTGCCGATGATGTGAAATTACGCGGTAACAGCCATGAATCTTTATGAATATGCAAACATATTTTAAATTTAACGTTTCACAATTATCGTAATTAAATTGAAATGAGATAGCCATGAGTAATATGATTAATTTTTTATATTTTTTAAACGTAGGAATTATCATAATATTTAACTGTCAGGCGAAAATTACATCTGAAGTCAGATTTTGAAAATTTATAATGGCAGGTCCAATATAACGGACCAAAATTCGAAATTTTTTGGAATTTTGTGAATGTGATATATGTTTATGTTTTGATCTATATGTTTCCAGGGTTACTGGATTCAAATCTGAAGTTAGATTGGACTCAGCATTATAAAAAAGCAATGTCACTTTTGTATAATACTAAAATTTTTTCCGCACTTTTTACCGCGATATTGGATCCGTCATTTTAATTTCCAAAATCTGACTTCAGATTTGAATCCAGTAATCCTGAAAACATATAGATTACCACTTTCACAAAATTCCAAAAAAATCTCGAATTTTACTCCGCCATACTGGATCCGCCATTTTGAATTTTCAAAATCTGACTTCAGATTCAAATTTAGCGCTCCCAAGAACCTTCGGAAACCCATGCACAATCAAACCGAATGAAATTTGGCATATTTTCTTTGCGCGTATATGCATCACTGACAGGGAAGGGGTTAATTATAGTTTATAAATTACATCTGCTTATGTAATATATTTTACAGATTCATATGTAATACCGCGCGGAACAATGGTACACCTTAATATCTATGATGTTAATAGAGATCCCAATTTCTGGCCGAATCCCGATGTATTCGATCCAGACAGATTCTTGCCTGAAAAAACGAAAAATCGTCATCCTTATTCGTATCTGCCATTCAGCGCGGGACCACGGAATTGTATAGGTAAGTTTTGCGCGACGCTCACATCTCTACATATGGACAATTTCTAATATACAAATTTTGAATGTGTGTGTGACAGGCCAACGATTCGCTATGTTGGAGTTGAAGGTCATAATAGCTCTTCTCGTGCACAATTTTTACTTGGAACCTATCGATTATCTAAAAGATACCCGGATAATTATTGATCTAATTCTTCGTTCTTACCATATGAATATGCGATTTATCCCAATAGAAAACGCACGTGCTTGAAGTAAGCACGGATTCTATGAGTGTAAAAAACGAATGTAAATACATCGCTAAAATTAAAGAATTGTCGATTTTACCATAATACACACACACACACACACATTTTGTGTATATTTGCTTTTCTATGGGCGCGCACGCACGTGTGTGTGTGTGTGTGTGTGTGCGTGTGTGTGTGTGTCTGAATTAAATATTACGATTATATAGCCTATGTTTTATACATATAAATATTATAAATAGATATAAGTGAATAATGTATGCTCAATAAAAGATTATAATATCATATTTGAGAGAATTTTTCTCTTCAAAGAACAAGTTCGTCTCGTAGTATCATACAAAGTCGCCAAAAGTAACAAAATTTAAAAGAAACACTTATTCTTGTACGAGGATAATATATGACATATAGTGTCTTTGTGTGACAAACCGCATTATAAAATTATAATTTATTTATGCTTTTTATATTTTATATTTAATATATTTAATAGAAACATAATAAGTATAATTTATTTACGCTTTCTACATATTTAATTAAACTTTTATGAAATTATATAGAATTATATAAAATTATGTAGAATTATATATAGAATTAAACTTTATATATATTTAATAAAACATAATTAAATCTAAATAAACTTTTCTTTTTTCAGAAAAAATGTATATGTAACTTAAAATCAAGTTTTTTCTTACAATAGTCGACGGTTAGTTGTACTTGAATGCTCGGTGGTTATCGGTAAAAGAAGAAAAAGGTTATGATAAAAAAAACTATTGATATCAGACGATGATTATATCAAAGTTTAATGTTGATATTCATAATATTAATTTTTTATCGAGACTTTCGTTTTTATCAGTTTTTGTCATACGAGATTAATCACGAAAGATTAAATGTGTTAATATATTGGTTTATAATAATTGGAAGATAGCAGTACAGTTTATCGTCACATGAAATTAATAAAAAGAATTTACAACAAGTACATTACAAAACCAAGTATGTATGTATTATAGCTGAATCTCTTATTATATATACATATTTTCGAATTTAATACGTCCAAACATATTAAATTATAATTTACACATTTGTCTTAAACGTGTTAAATGTCGTGACTGAAAATGATGAAAAGAATGATAAGAAATGGTGAGAAGTGTGTAAAAAAAACTTCAGCCGAATTATACGCTTATGCGTTTGTAAATAACACAATTTCTAATGTAACTGATGCTATTTATAACTATTACGTTGTTGAATTAATACATGTTAATATAACTATTAATACGCTGTTATAAAATAATTAATTAAAAAAGGAATAATGTGCGTAAAGATTGATATAATTAAACACAATACTATACAATACACTCTAATAAACACAATTATCATAATATTGATCATAATGTAAATAAAATATATTAAAAGAAATATTTTTATATAGAGTAGATTTAAAAATGTACTTATCAAAAATTTGATTGATAAGACTTATTAATCAGTTTAGAGCTTACCATATCAGAGTTCACAATTACATTATCTATAGTCCATCGGCAGTTCGCACATACTTATCTTGAAATTTGTACATTGTTCCAACAAGACGCGCAGTTATCGTGAACTTTCGTAAAACCATTTCTGTTTATTGCCGCTTACTGTCGCGTCCAAAAATAATTTACGTCGTAGTTTTATTATTTATTATTACAACCATTCTTGCATTTATTTATAATTATTGTACATCACTCAAGAGCCGGAAGATTGATCGATCAAATACCGGGGCCGAAGACTATTCCGATTTTTGGCAATGTATTGATGTTAAAAACTTCAAGAGGTAAGTATAAGTTCATGATATGTTCATCATTAATTAATAATAGTTCATTAAAGTTCAACTTACTATTTATTTACGTAAGAAGATACTAAGCTTGCGTGTTAACATAAAACTATGAACATTACAGAGAACTGATTTTTTTTCTCCCTTTTATTCATTCTTAATTGCTAATTTATTGCATGTTCGACTTACTAGTAACGGTATAGCGTATTCAAAAGAGTGAAAATAGTAATACATTTACATGTATCGTTATTTATAATATATTTTCACTAGAGAAACTCTGGTGGTTTTTGCGTACCTTTACGGACCAATTTTATCCCATTATTAGATTTTGGGGTTGCCAAGTGCCTGTTATATCCATTCGTCATCCAGATAATCTCGAGGTATTTAAATGAAAGAGAAGATGCAACAATATAAGAGAAAGATATATACCCACACACATACACACACACAACATACATACAAAATGCCCGGCAATTCGCGGCGCAGCCGCGGTGTGCTAATAGAACATATCAACCTGAGCAAAAAGTCCCCATCAGACTTTGCAAAAGTACGCATGGTCGAGCGCGGTTAAGTAGGTAATGACGGCATATATATATGCGAGCGGGTAGAGCGCCTTTTTCCAATGAAGTTTGCAACGTTCAAGCACAATTATAACAGGATATAATAATAAACCGATGAGAATTATATGTTACAACACGACTGTGATTGATCATTCCTCATAAAAAAGAAGAGACTTTCCGTGTATCATATTAATTATATAAAGTCCAATTTTACATCTTATATTGTCGCTTCGGCTCATATTATAATAATCATAATGATTACTATACACGTCTATAATAATTATGTTTAAACGCTGCAAACTTCATTGGGAAAAAGGAGCGCGACTCGCTCGCACATATGTATGCGTCATTACATATTCAGCCGCGTTCGACCACGCGTGCTCCTGTAAAGTCTGCTGCGCAACCCGTCATATTGCTCTGTATATTCGTGCAACACGCTACATGAAACTGTTTGTAAAACGACAAAACGATTATTTAGTTACGTGTGAATTGGAATAATATAATGAATGCACATAATTATATATTCTGTGGTTTCAGGCAATATTTAACAACACCAAGCACATAGAAAAAGCCTGATATACGACATTTTGTGTCCTTGACTAAACATCGGGCTTCTTATCAATACAGATAACATAATAAAATTAATATTATAATCGTATACACGCGTTTTAGCGTTACATCGTCGAGTGTGTACTAGATATTGAGTACTCATCTCTCTATACAGATATTTTGATAAAACATGATTCATTATAATATTAAAAAATATATAACTGTACACATGAGCAGATTAGAATATTTCCTTAGTGATAGATTTGTATTATTCACTTATTCATCATAAACTTACATAGAGAAAAGCACTAACACCAAGTGAACATAATTAATTGTTACTTAACCCTTTTAAATCCAGCAATATTTTTATCGAGCTAAGTGTACCTTGATAGCTTGTGTAGGAAATATCTAATTCAATATAATAATATATTAATTTGTAAATTAATTTTTGGATATAAGTAAATCGTTTTAAATTTAGAAAAAGTATTGTATGCGAAAGTTATTGATATTACTTCTTTTTTATTTTGTATTATTTTCCTTACTTCATAACGCATTATCGCGTGGATAGCGATTATTCCAGTTGCAAAAATTATTCTAGAATTAATCTAAGGTATAATTTTATTTCTGTTTTAAGTGCTAAATGGCACTCACGGCGAAAGATATTAACATCTACCATCCATTTCGATATACCATGACAGTTTGTTAATATTTTAACTGAAGAAGGTGAACGCATGGTGCAGAAATTAAAGAACATCGGCGGGATCGTTGAAATGGATATAGAACCATTTGTTACTGAACATATGTTGAACGCAGAATGCGATAAATCATATATTTTTTTCACATAGTTGTAGAGGAAACTTATTTAGTATATCTGAGAACTGCCTGCATTCTCTGCACTTCTCTACTTAGTCTCGGTGCAGCCCAAGTAAAATATCGACAGGAGGTCCGCCAAATGAGTCGAC